TATTGTTATTCATCCATAGGTAAACCCAATACAAAAACCCCATCATGGGTATAGTTCCCGTTAGTATCGCAATGAAAATATGTGATACTTCAACTCAATATTTGAGTTGTTCAGGTTACGTTGTCTACTTATCTCAAAATATTTGAAGAGTACTCTTCTCATCACAGAATCATTTAAGTAAGGAAGCGGCTAGTTATCCCTCACTTTTGGCTAATTATCCCTCATCCTACTATATTGGGTTGAGGGATAATTCAGCCAAGTAGGTGTTCTTAGTTTAGGTTGGACCTTCGCCAAGAACCAGGATCGATTGTAGTCTGGATAGCCTTTTGGATGCAGGCTATTGTCATTGGAAGCCAATCACTACAAAGCCGATCTATGGCTCTAGTTGGATCACTATTACATCAAAAAACTCAAGCGAAGTCGGAGCCCATGCCCATGTGTATAAACCCAGGAGCTATTTTTTTGCGCAGGAAATAAATCCGCGAGTTTGGATTCAATCGGCTTTCCATTCTTGAAAAATCCATTGACCACTTCATGAAGCGTTACATCCCCACCAACTGCAATGACGGCCTCCTGCGCAAACTAAATGGCGTGTTGAGGACATGCGATGAGTTTTTAAATAATGTTTCATTTGTTGCCTAGACGAGCTGTCAACTTGGGGAGCAGCTTCTTCCCTAAATCCTTTGTTCTTCTGTTGGCATAGTTTGGGTTAATGATGACGACAAAATTTTGCTTTTTAATGGTCTTTTGCGACACAAGGCTCCATCGGTCTCACAAGATGCAAAGACAAAAATCTCGGAGTTCCATCTTTCTACAAACTGACGACTACTTGGTTACAAACCTTCTAGACTCAAGCTATTGTCACCGGCAAGTGCCCAACCAAAAACTTGTCCCACACTTTGCTGACTTGGCTTATTATCCCTTACCCTAGTATAATAAGGTAAAGTGAAGAATAACTAACCGCTTACTAAATTAATCATAATATGATTGTAATCTTGTGGATACACACTAACATATACAACTTGCCTACAACTTTATATGTAAAACAAAAAACCTAGACTATGACATGGTATACTCTCTCACAAATGTATAGATTCAACCTCCAAAAATCAATATATTTAAAGAATTTGGAATAATAAAGAGAACTTTTTATTTGTATATTCGGAAGCTTTGGTCTATTGCTAAACCATTGGCGTTATATCCACTCTATTTGTTTCACTTGATCCACACATTCCACAACTGCATAATGTTTAAGTTGTGAGAAAAGCACAATCGATAATTTCATGCCAATTCATCTTGCTTCAAATTTGATTTCCTTTCATGGCATCTGTTTGATTTTCATGTGTGAAAGATATCTTACATAATAATAGTCTTATTCAGTCGCATACATGATGATCAAGATCAACGCGGAATCTTGATCAAGATCAAGATTCCGCATTTGCAGGCATAAGTTTTCAAATAGAAGTCAAACGGATGGATTTCTAGCCCAAATCTTCAAAGTAGCGGCCTGTAGGATTTTATTCGAGTCTTTAAAAAATAGTTCCTGAACCTTAATTCATGCTACTTCATTTTACGTATCTAGCTTTTTCCAACAAATATTATTTTATTTTGCGAGTCAGTATTGGAATGATACAAAATAGCCAAACATGGTTAATTCAAGGTTGTGTCCATTATTTTGAACTGAACTTCCGTTTCCAATACTTTTGTTGCTTATTGTAAGCGTTCTAAGGATTTTTCAGCCTTTAGTTCAAAATCATACCAATTGAATATGTAACTTGATGAACGTGATGAATTATAGTGCATGTTTAAATTACATACAATAAAATAGTAATTATTGTGTTAGTACAAGATAAAAAGGTGCAGCTAGTTATTCCTCACCTGGATCTAATTAATCGGGTTATAGGGTCCGTGTGATGAAAAATAAGTTGTTGATCAATTTCAAACTGCCCTCAGACATGCCGCTGTATTAGTTAAAGTAAGTGAGGTGGCTGAGTACCCTTCAAAGTTCATATGTTTATGGTAGGAACAAAATTGCAACGGCACGTAACAACTAACCGTTCACTTTACAGCATTCAAACCAATAAATTCTACAATCCGAGCTTGTAAAATTATTCCATGTAGCTTCTTTTTGAGGGTGATAACTTTTTTCGACTCCGTGCAGCTTTCGATTGAGCTAGTGCTTCAGTCGACCAAGATGTTGGTTTCATAAAGTTGCATGGCTTATACTCGAGGATAAACTATTGTGTCATGAACTCGGAATTCGACCCGGTTTCCTTGAGCATGGCAATGTAGGGCTTATGAAACTATAAATTGGTAAGCACAAATATGCTCTAGATTTGGGTAAAAGAAACGTTTCGGCAAGCAAAGATCTTTGACGTTGATTAGAAAGACTAGAAATTTGCAAAGTTTTTTTTCACCGTAGAGACACTATAAATTGATTGAACCAGTGAGTGACATCCGTATAGTAGGGTGAGGGCTAATTAGTCCAAGATGAGGGATAACTAGCCGCCCCAGATAAAAATTTCATCAACGTCAATACAAAAGATATAGAAAATACAAGTATATTCTAGTGGAGAAGTTAGTGTATTTCTTTATAAATTTTTGTGATACATTTTATTGTAACTTCATATTGCAAATATTAAGTTCATATGCATGTTATGCATGAGCATGGGCCATAAAAAGCATTACACTTTAAAGGATTTTTTGCTGAAAGTCTATGTAACACTCTTTATCTGCAATATTTGAAAAATTGCAGAAGAAGTGATAGTTAGAAGTCTGATTCTTGTCTCAAAACATAAAACTTGTAAATCCACTGTGCAGTACAGTAATCCATGTTCCATGATAGTGGAGTTCTATAGTGAGTGGATCTGGAATGAATATATGTGTCTTTTGCTGGACAGGGAACACTTTCGTAAAATTCTAGGATTTTGCACATAAAATAAGATTCCTTTGATACATAAAACACAATAAGGGCTAACTTGTAACAAATCCTTTTCAAAATCCTTTATGAAGGTTAAATGTGGTGACTATTTTAGATAACATGTGATTATATGTCATCTAAATTATTATAGTCTTAACAGATTCCTTCAATGGTGCTAGATTAACACGTGTTAAATGATACTACAAAATAGAAGTAAAAAATTTTTATCGTATAAAAACATTCATCAATATGAACACAAAATATTTCATATTATGATATTATTGACATAGATTTATTTCCAATCTCTTTAAGTAATTCAGCCATATTTCAATCTAGTTTTTTGCACTTGGCCCTTGCGACCTTACAAAGATCATGACAGGTATGGTAACAAATTACATGCGATTTATCGTTTCACTCCATCGGCACCTGGTGAACCGTATACAGAAGAGGTATACATCCAGGTCAGGCGTAGGTTGAAGTAGTCCTACACTGCCGTTAGAGACAAGTACTTAAGTGCCATGATGATAGTTCATACATGTACAGTAGGTCTTGGTGTAGAGTCTAATTGTAGGCACATTTTATACGCTTATTTCTTACAGTATAGTTTACCACTTAATTGCTCCCTTGTGTCCGTGTGTCCTATGTTACTCAATTGCAATAAGCCGGCCACCATGCTAAGGTTGAGATCATTCTCGGGCTTCTCAATCACACTTACATTCCACTTTCAAAGCGTATGACAGCTGGGACAGCTGTCGAATCGACATCCAAAATGTGAGTGTCATGATTCCAACGAAAAGCCGACGCACAAGGAGTCCGTGCCGTACAGCGAACTTTACAGGTAAACTTTCAACGCACTGAATCTAAGCGAATCATGGATGTCGACTCGTTCTTTCGTGAGCGAAGTCGAACGATGAACCACTGCTGCTGCTTCTGGTTCCCGTGTCTGCCTTCCCTTGGTCCCTACTCAATCCTGCCCGGTTTCCCTTCCCTACTCTCCCTTCCCTTTCCCCTACAGCTTTTGACTACCACGACTTTAACACAAGCAAAAGGGATGTATACCTCAGAATCAGTTAAGCTGTATCGACCAGAAATTTTCATATATTAATTTCCTCGGATTGACCATGGAAGTACGGTCGCCGAAAACCTGCCATCGATTGCATTATCTATATTACTCGTGTTTGCACGCCTACGGTACCATACTAGATGTTACACAATGATGTAGATGTTACCGCAATGCTCAAAACCTGTCCTGGGAGTAGGAGGGAGGGAGTAAGGAGAGGATCCCTCGGTGCTTTGGTGACCTCACTAGACTCTACAGTACTGGGATTCATAAGTATAGCTAGGCAGACTTACTAGATCACTCGTGGATCGAGACATCGATGGTGTACAATCTATTCATAATCAGTGAGTTAGGAACTCACAGCTGAATGAACTGTTTTCCACCCCAGGAGACATGGTATTCATATTGGGAAAGTGTAATGGAGTACCGGTCCTGGACATTAGTCTACAAAAGGTTCTTGTCATGGGAGTGAAGTGATGTTCGACTGCCTGCTGTGACGATACTTTCAGCATGGCTCTCTCCCTCTCGCTAAGATGGAATCAGTTACAAAGTCGTGTACTTTAGGCGAACGAGTTGAGCTCGTGTCATAAAAGGGTAGGGGTTTCGACTGCGCGAGAGGAGATTCGCCTGGAGAAAATGATTAGAATTTGTCTCTTTTCAGAATTTATAATTGGAGTCTCATAAGACCGTAAAGCTAAACCAGTCGGTGGGAGCCGCTCCATTCCCTCAGATGAGAACGGTAGTCTAAATTAGCACACCCGAAGATTGATCAACGTCCCTATTATAGTGGATGCGGGTGCTCGTTTCGATCTTTCCGTAGCCAGGAAGTCACAAGCGACTACCGCATGCACAGGATCACTACAGTGGCCTCTCTCTCCATCTCTCTGTCTCCGCCCGCTAGCTGACGTCACGCAGTTCTCGATGCGTGTATCTAGAAAGTTTGGAATTGTACATGCAGTATATACCCACGTGTCTGCTGAGTATGGACGGGAATCGGGAATTTCGTGCCAGTGCTGTTTTCTTTCGGTTGGGGAACGATATTTGTCCCCAGCGAAAAATGTTGTTGGTCTACGGTTTTGAATCCCGAGGGCTTTAACATCACCAATAAAATTCCGAGCCCCGTCTCGCGACTTGGACGGGCATGGCATCAGCCGGGCTTCGAGCTGAGCGCAGCGGAGAAGGTTGCTTATTGTCGCAAGCTAGGATTCTCGAACGACATTCTCCTAGGGTCAGATAACAGACGATCAGATCCGCCATTTAAAGGCAAGTTTCTGGATATGGCCTCGAGGAAGGCGGGTTGGGAGAATGTGAGCAAGCAAGTAAGTTCTCTAGCTTCCGATCGTCTTCTCGCTCAAACGTAAACTCTCTCAATCCTCAATGCATTTCGTCTGATTCTGAACTACCGAAAGCTGGTCCCGGCCCTCGGTTCTATTTATGTGATCTCAAGTGACCTGAATTCGCAGTGACGGATGCGAACGATGTCGGATCTGCGTACGCACATTCATCCACTACTGTAGATGGGTGGTTCAAGTTTAATCGGACAGAGATTTCCAAGGCGCATTATGCCAGACATATAATGCTCAAGAACGTGCACGCTTCATAACGAAGCCTCGGGCCAGGCCGGGCACATGAACGAGCAACATCTGTAAAAGGCACCCGAAACGTTATTCAATCTACATGCAAAACCTTTCTCAGATGTTTCTCACTGACTTTCCAACAGGCCCCGCCCACGGTCTTTGCAGCATCTATCTGACCTCATGTGAATGTGACTTCTCCAGTACTTCGTCAGACACACCGTGCGACGAGACAGCTAGAAAGTGTTTGTGTCCAAAGCAATTATGACATCCAATGTTGAGTAGGGCCGAGTACACCATCTTCTCTTGCAGAACACAGGCCTTGCCTCGCCTTTTGAAATTGATCGGTGTGATTTCGATCAATTGCCTTACCTTGACTGGAGAGTCCTTGACAATTACGTCAGCCTTTCATCCAAACCTTCGCCCAATTTGCAGTTAGCAACTCTGCGACACTTCTGATATGGCGTAGGCTTTACGATCATCCTACTGGATCACTCGCTTATCTGCTCCTTTCCCTACTAAACCGGAAGACTGTCAACTCATATTCCCTGCCAGTTTACTTCGCACTGCTCACCAAGCTCCTCGGTCTGCACGTACTACAGCGATTGTATATCCTCGACAGCATGGTAAAGTTCTAGATCTCCCGAAGCTAAGCCCACAACAGTGATTGATCGCCTTTTGGCAGGCAGACTGCTGGCCAAACTTTTCGACCGGCGGCTTGGACGTGAAGAGTGGCAATTGTTCGGCCTGGATTACAAGTTTCACTTCATGCCATTAATATATTCCTTACGTTCCAGTCAAATGCCTCGTTCAAGATATCCACAAAAGAGATTTTTCCAGCAACAGTGTCGGATTGCACAGCTCTCTTCTCTATTGTCAGCAGCGTGTCCATTAAAAAGTGTCATTACCGGCTGCATTAGATTCTTTTCGCTGTGGCGCTTTTCTCTTCTATGTCTCCAGGTTTGGTTTATATGAGACTCATCGAAACCTTCTGTACGTAGGTGACCAGAATCATCTACCTTTGATCCACATTATCGTACGCCTCTAATCCAAAAGCAAGTGAACTTTCTGCAGGGAGCAGAAGAGCGTGTGCACAGAGAACGCTGGTGCTGTGTGTTGTTCGATGGGGATTATGAGGCCGTTTCTCCGCATAGCTTATCAGTTGGACTACCCGAATATGACTTGCAGCAATACCGAAGCATTCGCACCGTGAACTTGTTCCCAGTGATCTGCATATTGAAGTCAGAGATCCGTCGCAATCTTCATTCGGCTTTGCTGACTCTAAGGAATGAATGAAAGCCTTTTCGACCTACCCGACTGCCAGACTGCGAGAGGGATACCGGTACAGATCAAAGTGTACAGTGGAAGTTCGTTCGCACCACAGCCTTTAATCCTGTTCATCTCTTGGGCATTCAGTTCCCTTGTTCCCGATTTCGCAGCAAAACACTGGATTTGGAATCTTCGGCAACGACTGGTGACCATGTCTCTCCACTGTGGCCCCAAACTTTCGAACAAATACTATGCATTGACGCAGCCACCAACAAACTCTGAAGTCAGTCGGAAATCTTGTTTGCGAGCTTTGTCAGTAAACTCACGGATGTTTATCTTGAATCCTGCTATATATAAGAAAAGTTAGTTCTTTCTACGTATTTCCGAATAGGCCGGAAAAGTGGATCCAGTATGGCTCCACAGTATGGGTGTACAGTCAAATGTTTTCTTCAGGGGGCACTTTTAATTGCGAAATAAAGTTTTGAGGTACGCTCTGAGCGGACAAGTTCGCATCTCCACGGTGATTTACTTGCTTATTTTTCAATGGGTAATCACGGAGTCATGATTGCTCTATCCGTCCCCTCGGAATGAAGACAAGATAGCTTCCCTGTCCAGACTGTCCTCGTCACAGGGCAATAACTCGGGTCATTATTAAAACAGAGGAAATAGTGTGATCAGAATATGTCCACGACGCTGCGTTCAGTTCCAGACACTGCTGGATGGAATTTCTGCAGCTTTCAAAGATAGTATTTAATATGTTTGTCTACAACGACTTCTCTCGTTTGAAGGCACGGCCGAGAGTCGTTTCCAAAACCGGTTCCGAGAGGCCTTGTCATTGGCCTAGTTCTCGAGAATTGACAGGTGCGCTTCGCTTAATGCCCCTCTGCAAGGCTGTGGAAGCTGTGCCTGCTGTACAAGAACCAAAAATCGTTTTCTAATCACCTACTTCTGACGCCCGAATCTGACCAGTATACTCAGATCTCCTACAGAATCAGCCTAGGAGATCTCCTACCGTCAACGATATTTTCGCGCCTGGAAAGCACACACAAAGCGCTATCCTTAGATCCATGGACTCAAATCTGTGTCCTCTTGATCTCTGTGGGTATGAATGCAGAAGTAACGAACAGAGCCAACATATGGAGTAACCAGAATTTGTGGATATTGCTCATGTACTAGAGGCTTAGATAAGGCTCGCGCAATATAACTTCGACTATGAATCAATGGATTCCCAGTTCTCTCTTACACAACAAGAATGACAGATGTTGGCATGAATGCATCAGGGAAGCCGAGAGGTTGTTCACCTATGTCGCGATGGCACTTTGCGATTGCGATAAATTACTGCGATTGAAAATTCCTTTCTGGGGCTGTCTGTGCTTCTGAGATCACGTAACAATTCTCCCTCTCAACTCACCACTTATTGTCGCCGGTATAAGTGAACCAAAGAAAGCCACTGACCAAATTTGCCCTTAAATTGGGGAATTTACTTGTGTCAGATACTATGATCAGCTTAGAAGCCAGACGCTTGTACTCAACTCGATCTCCGCCGAAATTGTTTATTAACAGGGGTTTTCTGTTCAAAGGCTAAATAAAGACACCGGCAACAGGAACAGGGGGAATGGAGAAGTTAAGCTGGTACTAACCACAGACTGAACATGTGAACCTGGCAGTTTTACAGGCGCAAGATACAGGAAGTGAACTCACGGTTTTTGCTCCCGTTGGCCCTGAGGCTCAATTTGTGTGATTTCAAGTGACTATGGACTGTTCAAAGTTGAACTCTGAAAGGACAAACCCTCCGGAATCTCCTCAGATCGAGGGCTTTCTTCGAAACTTGGCTTGGAGATTTGTGCGGATCGTCAAAGTTGTCAACGGTCAAACAAGCATGAATCAGGATCGCAGTTCCATGAATCGAGTAAAGTATAGATGGCCACCAAATGAAGGCCTTTCGATTGGACTCCAGAGTCCTGCCAGCATCTAAGTCCATCCCGAAACAAAAACTGTGTATCAGAACCGTATATGTGATGCAGACGAGACTGCATTGAATGCCCAATGTTATTCCCCGCTCTGGTGATTGACCATTGACTCGAATTCGACGGTTGGCCTCGACCCTCGTCTGTAGCTCACTTCTTTCCCTTGCTGATTCACGTTCCCGGCGATGATGACCCCGGTTACCGGGTACCGCCATCAACGACCAGACTTACTGTAATCGATTTCCCTTATGGTTGTCATATGCTAATTATAATTTCTCTACATTTAACGGGTTTCACTGCACAATCGTTCGATTCAAGCTCCTCTCCCATAAAAATATCTCCATTTTTTTCGCGGATGTCGAATTCTATGAAAGACAAACGAGAACTAAAACTGAGACTTTGGAACACAGGCTAGTGCAATGCTTTCCTTTAACACCTAGCTTTGTGCAAAAATGAAATCTGAACGAAGAAATTACTTGAGTTAGAAAGATCATCTTAAATATAGCTATCAAAAAGTAAAACAAATTTTAAATGTTGACTTGCTTTACAGGCTCTACAGGTTTCCTACAACGCAACAACACTAGAATACGATAGATGATGGGAAACCCAGTGTACAACAATACAAAACAGGTTGCGAACCTAACCTAGCAAGGCAAAAACTATATGACTGCATAGCTGACAGAGCTATATGATCAAGACAGTAGGACCTAGACATGTGAGAGTCTTGGATAGCCAGTGTAGTACCAAGACCGAAGGATACATTCAATGCTAAGAAGCTACTGAAGTAACTCTAACTAAAATTTACGCACAGCAACTCCAATCCTCGCATGGAGGTATGCAACAAACCATGTCTCTACTAGGGTGGTAAGGTTACTACCCTTTCTCCCTATGGGTTCACAAATGACGATGTAAATCATCAAACTTATTACATAGAAAGAAGAACCTACGAAATGATCTCTTTGTGAGTAAGAGGGAACTTTTCTACCTGGCGGCTGCATGACCAACCAAACGGGTTTGTCATATATCTTACATGGGGGATTAGCGAGAACAACTTTATAGAATGTCGTTTCTCCCACATGGCTTACGTATATGTGGCATCTCCTATTTGAAGGATCTCTTGATGATGAGGGAATAAATTTGTCTATACCATTTGGATGTGAAATCCAAAGGATTGTACGGTTGAGAAATATGCTGTTCCTTGAGTATCTTATGTAGCTATAGACTCTAAGCATCTATGTATAGATAACCACATGTTATAACAAGTTGCGCCTTACATCACCGGTTGAGAAAGACCCATTCATGTGTCATCGCCATGACAAAGTGTGATGGCAATGCAAAGAGCAAAGTTAGTGACCTACTTGTTAGCCAAAGTCCTGCTGGTACTTAGACAAAGCATCTATTTATATTTATTTATAATATTAATGATATTTATATTGAATTGCTTGAATTACATATAATTATATATATAAAAATTTTATGGCAAATAGAAAATCTTCAAATTTCAAATTTCACAATGGCATGTTATGTTTCAATATAAGAACCAAAAAAATATACAAAAGATCTTGTAAAACAACAAAATTTGGCAATTTCAGTACAAAAGTTACTTTTTGGAGCTTATTTTAAATTTAAGAAAGTACATCAACACAAAGTTTATCTATTTCATACAAGTTATACATCATTCAAAGCATGCACAAAATCTATCAAGACATCAAAATAAGTCTTAAAATCGAATTGTTCAAAAAGAAATTGTTCATTTTTATTTGCAATCAAAGAATATGTTAAATTGAATTGTATGTTGAATGTTTATAATAGAAAAATCAAATTGCCTCTTGAAGTTATTGGTATCATCAAATTATCATTCAACCTTTGCACAATCATTGAATAGCTTTATGAGCTTTCAATTGCACTCAAAATAAAGTCTAATTGCTTCAATAGCTCTTAGAGCACTAATTTTCATTATCTATCTTCATTGCATAACAATCAAACATTTGAAAAAAAATGGAACTCTTTATAATTTTTTTATCTTATTGATACAATTTAACTATAATCTAATTTGTACATTGATCACTTTTGTCAAGACCATTGATTATTTGAGATATAAGCCAATATCAAATTTATCATTGCAGCAATTGCATTGATTGCTTCCAATATAATTTCCTAAAACTAACTAATAATCAGTTAAAAATTCAGATGTATTCAAAAACTCTAAACCCTAAAAATTGACTTTGTCAACTACTCCGCGTGTTCATTGATGAAAAAAATTCTCATGACTATCATCAATGAGGATTGTTGACAATTTCTTTAAGCGCTCACACGAGACTTCTTATCAATCAAAATTTAGAAGAAGAATGAAAAACTTGATATAGTTAATTTCTAACTGTTCAATTCATGATGTGGTTAATAACATGATATCAAAAATCACATAATTTTATTTATTTTTATTTATTTATAAATTTGAGGAATAATAGCAAGCAAGAGTTGTAGGCCTAAAGGCGTAATGCATGGTTAGAAACAAGACAACAAATTTTGATGTGAGATTGATTTCAGCATTGAAGTAGAAAAAAATTACTCATATATTAGAGGATTTCTTCTGAACTCATATCTATATTTTCATAAAAAGTCATATGTGAGTGAAAAAGAAGATGTTTTCAACAAATCACACAAGGATCAACTTTAAGTCTTTGGAAAAATGAGATGACAAACACAAAATCTGACGGATCAAGATACAAAATTACAAATATAACAAACGTGATAAATATCAGTTTTGAAATAAACTAGTCAAATGCACGTTGAAGATTGTAATACAGATTGGTATTAGTATTCCTAAAAAAACAATGAATTGGTCATTAAAAACACTCCAGAATAAATCACGTTGAGTTTGACCACTCGAAGACATATAGTTTTCTTTCTATTAAACAATAAGCTACAATTTTCCTTCCAAATCTCTTCCTTCTGGATGTCTTAGTGATGTGTAAACTTCCCGAATGATGTGGATACTAGCTACCAGAAGGTTATTATCGAGCTATTCCAGATTTTTTTATCCAAGTGATTGGTTTTCGTTGATACTCTAATGTTTAGATAGTCTGATTTTCCACTATCCCGTGATTTGAAGTGGCTAGACACTCACTGTCCTATTCTAATAATTGGATGGTATATATTCCGTAAGTCTATTTTTGTCCTATCAGATAGCTACTTGGTAGCAAATATATGAACAAAATTCTAGACTACAACAACATTTTGGTCTGGTTGTAAGTACTTTTCCTATAGTGTTAACCTTCCCATATGATTTCTGGTCAATTTGTCAAGCTTTAATCTATTGTCAAGGAGATATCAATCTTATTCAAAATTCCGATCCGCACAACCTTCTGTGCTCTAGGAACTAATAGACATATATCTGCAAAATACGTTATTTCCTCTTCAAGTTACTTTTAAAAGTTAAAAAACGTCAACACTTCACACTTAACACCTTTTCAACACTCCGTGAGCTCTTCTGATTCATTCAACCGGTCAACACACTTTCAGAATGTCTAC